ATATATACACACACACACGCACACAAGACACTGAAATCAGGTGGGCTGATATCTTGAACTCCAACTCCTGACACGGCATCCCTAGTTTCCTGAACCCGTGTAGTCCTAAGCTTCAACGCCTACAATCTACAGAACCTGCAATAGAGCCCTTATAGGACCCTTACAAACCCTTGTCCCAGCCTTGTGAAGCCAGCCTTATTGCACCCTCATACCGGTTTTGACAGTCCCCAAATCGTCGTAGTTCGCATAGGTGCTGATGCTTGCAGTGTGAACTCGCAGGCTGTAGACTTTTACATCCCTGAGGAGGTCGAAGTATCTCTGGTCTTGATGCTAATTACGGTCAGGGGCCCGAGGTTTGGGATTGCAGTAGATTCGTAGATGCACCAGAGGGTAGGGTTCTCAAGGTTCCAGCAGCCCCTGCCTCGTGAGCATGATGTCCTGCGACGGGCCGGGCAGTGCATGCACAGTGTCAAGACTTTCTGGGTAGTGGTGGTGGCTTCACGTGTGTGTGCTGGAGCGACACCCCCCCNNCCCCCCCCCCCAAAAAAAAAAAGAAGGATTCGCTGCTAAGAGCTTTGGAAATTCAGGGATTGAAAGCTAACCGGTTTGGGCAACAACATCGGCAGCCTTCCCCGGTGCTGATCTGCCATCCAGATCTTGAGACTGCAAAAGATCACATCAAGCATCCAGGGTCCTGCATCCAACTGGAGGTTGACACACTGCTGCATGATGTCAACCTGCCCCGGCTTTCAATTGCGTCAGCAGGGCTGAGAATTGGATTTTGTGGAATTGCTTCGGTCGGACGGATTACTTCACGGCGGCGACGGCCGACTGGCAAAGCGCGGTCCATGTGACGGGAAACATGGGAAACCACACCATGTTGGTATTCAACTTCAGTTGCACAGAGATTTGTTTCTGGCCTCCAATGACGGAGGATTCTAGCAGCTTCCGGAAACTCGATATGTCTTTGGATCGCCCGTCACTTCTGCGGACCCCATTTTTGCTTCTTGCCGAAGCCTCCGCACTCTCTGCATCCTATGCGTCTACTGAATTGGGGAAAATCAGCCTAAAGGGTCCTCTACAAAGCTTGCAGAACTTAAATCGGATGCGCCGCGCGCAAAAGCCTTGGAATCGATGCAAAACTATCTCACCTCAGGCCGCAGAACCCATAAACAGCTCCGCGTGGAGTGGGGCCAGGACTAATTCTCCCTTGCTGTTGTTGAGGAGAACTCCTACCCGTGCCATCCCTGCCCTGAATGAAAGTGTAGCGACCTCGTATGCTCATCTGCTTCTTCTGCCAGGCTTGCTGGCTAATCTGCTTGAAGTTTCAAGAAACATAAACCCAAATCCATAAAACATAAAAGTCAAAAGCCAAAAGGTCACACGGCCCCTAGGTGATCACGGTGGGCTTGTCCCGCCCAGTGTAGGATTTCAGGCTCGAAAGCTGCAAGGCCACGTCCGCGAGTGGCTTCACCACGTCGAACTGATGCATTCCGAGGTTGCCTCTCACAGAACCGTCTTGGGCTGTAGGCGTACGGCGCAAGGTTTGGGGTGTGATCGGGTCCATGGTTGCATCATTCACAACATCATTGTCGACAACAGAAACGGCACTGCTATGCCGATGTGTGCTTGGGCATTGGTTGTGCTCTTTTCACTGTTCTATTTGTCGATCGCTTGCCGCTATGGTCAGAATTTCTACTCAGAACAATTGTGCTATTCGGAAGACAGAACCCGAACTCAACCCCCTCCAGCCCTACAGAAATCGTGATCCCTGGACCGCGGGCCTGTTGGAGGGGTGTACTTCTCTAGATAGAGGCGCACGGTGGCGCCCGCCACCCCGGTGCCGGAAAGTCGGAAGATGATCCGGGAGCCGTCCTCGAAGATGAATCGGACGCCTGCGAGACTGCCGATCTGACAGCTGTCTCATATGGGTTTGAAGAGGCGCAAAGATATGATCCGCGATACAAGTTCCTTCGGAAACTGCGCGCATAAATCAACAACATATATATATATATATATATACATACATATCTAACTGTATATTATGATTATTACTGTTATCATTATCGTGAACATTGTGATTACTCTTATATATACACAACAATATGTATATGTGTTTACTTTTTATTAATCACTACTTGTCTGAATGTGTATGCGAGACTGGCGCATGTAAAAGCTCTTGTGACAGAACAGACTTCTGGTGCATGCAGATATGAGGCTCCATATCTTACCCAGTGGAGATGATCCTGGGCTTAGCCCCTCTGCGCGAAAGGCTGCGGAGTCGTCGAGCTGCACAAAGCTTGCAGAACTTGGTGTTGGACCCGAGTGCTGTGGCTTTGTAGGAATGCCAGAAGGCCACCCGAACGCTCATGACAATAGAATCTAATATAATCTCCGCCCAAAGATAGAATCCCATGGAAACCTACACCTGCATTGATCGCAGGTTCAATGGAGCCATAACATAGTCCGTCTATCGACACAGTCACAGGTCCCTCCTGAGTCAGAAGTCCTCTGGAGCCTCTGTCATTGACTCATCGTTTGGCTGTGGAAGCACATGCTACCAGTCTCCAGATCCCAAACCATTAGAGTCCCGATACCTTATATACGCTTACTGGCAAGACAGCCTCAAGCCGCAGCCTTTATGGCGCACTGGATACAGCCGACTTTTTGAAGCCCCGTACTCGATATGGCCGACGAGAGTTTAGAAGACTGGAGCCTTGGTTCTTGGACACGCTGCCGTCCACCGGGTCATTGTATTCGAAGACCTGTGGCAACATTTGTGCAAATCAGAAAACGGATCCACTAAAACCCATTCTCGCGATCGTTTTCATCGTCACGATTTTCATCACCCGCAGCATCACCATAAACATCATCATCAACATGTCATCGCTATCACCACTGCCACGCCACAGTCACCATTAATTCCATCATCATCATCATCATCATAATCGTCATCGTCATCGCCAACACCATCAGCACCCTAGACAGACATTATGGTCATCAACGGTGTAGTATCAAGATTTGACAAAACTCCTTATACCATTTAGCAAGCCCAGACACCCTAAACCAACACTGGGTCAGGGGCGTCGTTGATCTTGATCTTCATGTTGCCGAAGGTCTTCCCGACAAGCTGCCCTGGTGTCGGTCCCGCACCATCTTTGAGGCTACACAGACTGGGGTTGAGTCTGTCATGCGGAGTCCGTCCTGTTAGAGGTACTCTTGAGCATCCCCACGGCTGAATCAACTTGCCTTCCAGGCAACCAGGAACTACCTCTTCTCTCTCCTGAATACAGGTGCTTCTTCTGGCTCACTAAGCCCAAAAATCATGTAAGTGAAAGAGGCTCAATTGGAGAAACTGCAGCAGAATGCCCGACAGGACATGTTGGTGCCTGACTTGTCGGACATCATCTTCATCATCTGCTCGGCTTTGGCCTTGTCAACGCCTGTCCGAGGCATCGTACATAAATGCTGTACTTACATGTTATTTTGCTATAAGTGTGGAATATATGTCTCTTCTCGATTTAGTTCTGAGCTCGAAATCCATCCGCCCTTCTTCAAGGCTTGCCCTGAGCCTTCGTAGTCATAGCGAGCGTAATAGTTTCGACCGTAGGTCCTCGGATGTTGAGGAGTATCGGTAAGCAGGAGCTTGGACTTTGGTGCTTTGGGATGAAGGCATAGGTCAGGGCTCACGGCTGAGGGTTAAAAAGTCGAGGATGTTGGGGTCGAAGATTCGGGGAGTTTCTTTTCACGGCTCATTCAAGGTTTCGTTAAGACAGTTAAGACCGCAGTGAGTGGTGCTGAAGGACGAGAGTTTCCGGTTACGGCAGTCTAGGTTGTAGGCCGAGACACTTCCAATGCTCGTTGGCTACGTCCTCGACGGACACGAGCTTGCCGGCCTGCAACCACAACGGAGGTGATTGTAGCATTTTGTTCGTGCATGAGCCATGTGAGTCGAACTCAACATAGCTCTCTCCTTAACCCAAACGCCGTTGCAAATTCAACCACCGGAACCCCCAGCCACGATGTGGACAGCTACCCTAATTACCCGTGCTCCTACACCCTTCGGCCCAGAAGCCTCAAGCCTCAAGCCTCACTCCTAAACTCCAGGAAAGCAATTTGGAATTACTTGAGGCACGCCTGCTCGGTCTTCTTCGCCAGGATTTGAAGCCAGGCAAGGACGGCCCACATTCCATCCTGGAAAGGACCATTTTTTGTGCTTGCGTGCGCGGGCCTGCGCGGGCCCTTTTCTATGCAAGGATGATCTGTTTCTCGTTTCCATGCCGGAAGGAGCAGATGGTGAAAGTGGCTGGACTTAGAGGGCTCATGGTCTCGTCTCGGCTTGAACCCTAATTAACCCTAAACCTTTTTGAGAGGTTTGATGCACATCCTGGAATCTGACCCTGGGGTCAGGCCAAAACTGTGTCCCTGTGTTGATGGATGTGGAGTTCAGGGCTCCGGTCCTGTTGTGAGGGCACCCTTTGAGACCATGATGAGCATCTTACACCCTAAAGGCCGATGAGTTTAAGCCAACCCGCAATGCTTTACCCCACATTTTGGGGTTCACAGAGTCGTTAAAGTTAAGACTTAGGCGTGTAAAGTCTGGCGGGGCTTTCAGCCTAGCATTCACAGGGCTAAAGGCAGCTAGGGTTGACAATGCTATTGCCACGGCTTATAGGACTTTTGAAACCTTTCGGGACCTTCCTGCGCTGCATTGCCCCTGCACTCACCCAGCCTTCTCTCGCACATGGTCAGCGCCCGTACCAAAGGACTCTTCACCACAGATAAAGGGTGTGTAAGTCTGCCTGAGCCAATGTTGGACAAGGGGCACGGAAAGCAGGTAATCACGGAGCTCCTGTAGTTTGTGTCATGTGCCCACGTGATGACTTGTGCCCGGAATGAACGAAGGAAAAACATCGAAACCAAAGCCAAGACCATGACCATACGTGCAGCATGAGCTTCTTCCACAGTGCGCGCGACCAAGAACAGTTTAGCAACAGCAGCAAGACATGCTCTGCTCAGCCTCCCGCTCCAACAAACCTTCCATGTGAACCAAAGCCAGAGTTTCCAATTATGGGCAAACCGTTTTTCGCAAACCCCTAATCAACTCAAACCCGGAAACCCTCAAAACTCCTTGATCCCAAAAGCCCCAGGCACTGAACTCAAGTTCCCAATCCCCTCAAGCGCTTAAGGGCCAAGTTTGCTGCGCCGGCCGAGGGGCTTGTCGGGGAAATACTGGGTGCCACTGTCCATCAGATTCCCGAAGAACTTCCATCCTGCGTATTTAGACATTTACAATGTGAATGGGGTTTGCAGAACTCGAAATCATCTTCTTTTCCCGCTATATGAGGAATCAGGCGACATTCGTCCGCCTGGCGCTCTTTTGGTTCAGGGTCCAGACTTGGGGCTGAATGCAGAAAACCAAATCGGTCTCATGAGTCTCCAGATGGGTTGTTCTATAACTTAGGGTCCCTGTTCTGTTAGGGTCCGTTCCCGTTATTTTAGGGTCCCTCTTATACGGGCGGCGCCGCACAATTTCCTAGAATGGTGACCCTAATTTAGAGAACTGCCCATTTGCCAAAATGTCCAACATAGAAAACAAGTACGTGCCCACGAAGCCTAAACATTGACTAAGATGAACTTGCCCCCTCCCCCGTTGATCCCGGACCCACAACATCCATCACGAAATCCAACTTGCTCCATCGGAAAGCCTATGCTGCACATGCTGCACTAGGCCACTAACACTAGAGTTGAAGGCTTCAGGCTTTATAACTTCTTCTTGGCTCCGGTACTGACTGTGGTATCCCCATACCGTAACTTATCATAACCCTGAGCCCTACAAACCCAAATCATCCCACATCTAAAGCAGTAAACCCTTGAACCCGAAAGCTACGAGAAAGGCTTTTTGAGGCATCGCGATTCGGAAGGAACGGCGCTGGCCTGTCGGCACTTCGAAGCACTCGATGCCTTTGGCCTCATGCCAAGCCATCCGCTGAAGAGACTTTTGACCCGCGGGTATGAAAGGTTCAAAAACAATTTAACCAGGTATCAGCAACCCATCGTTCACGGACTGTAGAGACACTGTAGAGAGCCGAAGGCGAAGCGTTGTGGGAGTGGCGAAACCAGGCAGGGATCACCACCAGTAAGGAGTCTTGCAAAACAGTCTCGGGCAAAGTGCAGAGTCCGCAGGAACAAGGCCAATGAATATTCAAGCAACCACTCCCCGCCCACCGTACTACATCATGACACTGCACGTACTGAACAAAGGTATGAAGAATTTTCGTAAATGTTGTAGAAATCTCCACTTACAGTCCCTCACTTCGACTGTAACATGCCCCCAAACCTCTTCCAACTATCAAAGCCGAGTCTCAAAAGCCCTTACCAAAACATGCACCACAATATTGTGCACCCCAAGACTCCGATCTCTCGCCTCGCATGAAAGCTAACTGTACAAGCACATTGCGTAAACCAATGTAAAACCTTGATACTTAAAAGCCGTCCAACAATTCGAGTCTTTTGTAACCGTTCATGAAGAACCGTATAATATTGTCTTTGCCCATCCGGCCTTGGCCACCAAGTCCAGGGCACCGCTAGTAGGCATGGACCGCGCGCAGCCCTTCAGCCCAGCCTGAACCCTAAACCATCAACCCCCAACCCTATTCACCCCTCAATCCCTAAACCCCTAAACCCTTTTGCAGCAGGCTTCGTTCGCCGGAACTGCTGTCGCTGTGAAGCAGTGCAGCACTCATGACTGTGCAACCCCGCACAACGCGTACTTATGACATGACATGCAGTTGCACAGCCCAGCTGTGAGGAGTTATGGTACTCAAGACCACAAAAGAAAACTGAGTAAACGCAAGGTCGTGGAAGTCATGAAGATCACTACAGTACGCATCATAAAACCATTGCTCCATGTGAACATCAACAGCTAGGCCATAGAATTCCAACTGCACCCACATGAGCCACAAGCGAAGGACACCCCTAAACCCTAAACCATGAACCCCAAACCCTATTCACCCAGGCTCGTTCGGGGTCTCTCGGATGCTAGGCTCAAAAATTCACTGTCAAAGCTTCGAAGAATGCATGTCACTCAGCCGGAATTTTGTGGTACATTCGCATAGAAGTATATACCGGAGCAAATAAGAGAGTATTCCGATAGCTAGATTTTTTACAAAGACATGTCCCCCTGGAGGCCCCAAGCACCTCTATTTTGCAGCCACGGCACGCGGAACTGAGGGATGAGATCGGCGTTGTCGACGATCATGGCCAAGGAATCGGAGGGAGAGATGAAAAACCTCGCTAGACCCCTAAATCCTAAACCCTAAATTTAAACCCATTGGTTAAACCATGGTGGCTGCTTCGGATTGAGGGGAAGAGGCAGGGCGTAGGGAAAATCAGTGCACTTCGGGTCCCTGGGATCGAAAAAAATCGAAGAAGCGGCCCTTTTGGCATGAAGCTGTGGGAAGACTCGTCGCTGGTTGGCACTATGGGCATCAACTCCCTTTAGCTCATGCTTCGGATCGATCATGAGTGTGTCTTGAGATTGCCTATAACACCGCAGCACAGAAACATCATCCCCCCTGAAGTCTGTCCGATTCCCCAAAAAAGTCCACAGAGTCCAATGAAAGACGAATTATCTTGTGCCGTGAAAGCCCGAAGCCGTATCGCTCCGAACCCCAAACCCGAAATGTTGAACGCCCCAAACCCTAGACATCATAAATAGGCCGGTTCTGGAGCATACTAACCGAACCATAATCATAATCAGGACAATCCAGAGATACGACTTCTCTAACGGCTTCGATGCCCTAAGGATCCCTAAGGCAGGTGGCTGGCTGCTGAGGATCATGTTCCGGTCGGCGTCACCGTCCGCTGCGGCGCCGAAGGATGGGATGGGCTTGGAGCTGGAGATCTTTTGGCCCTCCTGATGTTGGGGCAAAATAGGGCCGTTTTAATACTTATTTGAATAGGCTTCGGAGTATGTTGTAGTACAGCCAGTACAGCTCCCTGCGGTTTTGGATTTAGGGCTGGGGGTGCATGGTTGAGAGCGCAAGAAGCGCTAGAAGCTTTGGACAGTACATCAAAGTCTTTTCTGATCGGGTGCACATTCAGAACACCCACATTGGTCCTTGTTGAGGCCCATCGTGGCCACAAGCTCAACAGCATAGGTCAAGTTCCTGGTGCAGCCGTCGTGCAAACGAAATGCTCGTACAGAACCAAAACGGGGCGGCGTGGTGAATTAGAAAAAGATATCCAGGTTGCCATAAATTGACGTGGAGAATTATTGCGGCTCTTAATTACCTCGGACCCAAAGCAAGAACCTCAACAAGTTGATAGCGACTCGGATAGAGCCTAGGGCTGCGGGTATGAGATCATCAGCATCGTCATCGTCCTCGTCGTCATCATCATCCACCTCACCCTGGTGCTATGCTCCTTGTCAGCCGTGTTGCGGTCGCCACCGAAAGCTATGCTCCCCCAACTTTCGTCACAGATTTCTGACTACCAGGTGGGGGTTTCCGAAAATAGGGGACCCTAATATAGTACCCTAAATAGTAGGATCCTTATTATAAGGACCCCAAAATAAGATACCCCAAATTTTTGGAAAGTCCAAGGTCGAGTCTCGGATCGGCGTGGCCGTGCCAAGCAGATTCCGGACCACCGAAGTCAGGCTTCCTCTGCTGAGCTCGGTTTAGAAGCTAACCGAAGCTGCCATAACGGGGGGCTTGTAGCAAATAATGGTGGCTTGCATATTATTTCAGTAACTTAGATTAACTGAGTCCTTAGCAAAAGCCCAGGTTTTGGGGATGGTCTTCCGGGGAATGGAAGGTCCACAGCCGACCGTGCCGCCGAGCTGCGGCGCTGCATTCGTGCAGCTGCCTGGGGCAGCTCCCAGCTCCTGCAAAACCCAACCCGAGACCGTTTAGGGTTTACGCTCTCACAACTCGGACAAGCCAGGCGAGGTTCTTGGTGCGAGGTCGGCGTGACACAGGAAAGACAGGCCACAGACAGGAAGCAAGCCCAGAACCCAATCTAAGAACCATAAACCACCCAGAAAGACAGTGGTCTGCCTGAATGTAACAGGTTTTACTGTCACATATCCCTGCCTCTCGAGCTTCCAAAGAAAGGATACAACAGATATAGACCACAACCCTTCGAAGCTCAGCAGGGACACTCAGAGAACTACAGGGTAGAAATTACACTAGGGTGAAACCTAATTAGTGTTGTTCAGAGGTTGCCCATCAGAACTCGAGAAGGTCAAAACAACTTCTGTAGTACCGTGTCCCAAGTGTGTAGGGTTTAAGGGTGACCCCGAGGCCCATCTGGGCTTTGGGCTTAGGGTTTCATGCTTCATGAAGGTGAAAAGTCGCTCAGTGGGTTTGTCTTATGTCGGAGGGCTGGCGCGTCCTCCTCGATGATGCGCTTGGCATAGGGGCCCTGAACCTTCGGAGTGCGCTCCAGAACCCAACCCCTTAACACCAGCTCCGGATTTCGGATCTTTGCTGAAGAGCTTTTGGCACGGCAAAAAAACTATCACTTGCCAAAAAATCAGAATTTTGGGATGCATAAGGCTTATCTGCAGCTGCTGGAGTCTTGTAATTAGATTGCTAACGATCTTGCCGATGCTTGGGGTCCTTTCTCACAGGTGAGGCTTCTGCCAAAAGAAAGGTCTATATGTGTCTTGTAAACTTGAAAAAGGGGAATGAGATGCGGTTTACAAAGCCTGATGACAGGGTGCCAGGTTTCATGCTCTGGGGTTCCATTGGTTCTGGAAGACTCAAAACGTGGAGCTTGGTTTCAGGGTTTAGGGTACCGGTATAGGTTCGAGGTGATGGGGTATTGTGCTGCTGCAATGTGGTGCTTCCGCAGCTGTCAGCTTGGTTACTTACTGTTATACTGCATGGTCATGATGTCCGTGGTTCTCTGTGTAACCCCCCACAGTTGGCTACAAGCGCTGTAATTACTGCTTGCTTCGCAACAACACTGCTTTCGCCGCCGTTTCGACGGCCTGTCAGCACTCTCGCTCTTAGCACAAACAGTAACTATCCCATCATAGTCGAACAAAGACCATCAATATCCGTCCCAAAACCCTTTCATCCGCGTGACCCCAGACATGGAGTCGTAGACAATGGTGAAGTCCGGCCGGGTGATGAGCCTGAGCTTGCCGTCGGCATTCGATGCTTTCGAGCCCTTGTCAACTGCCTAAGAGGTTCAGAACTTTTTACAGGGTTTGGGGCCTAGGATTTGTGACTTTGGGTTGAGGTTTCAACGGCTGAATGTCTGGTATGAGCTTTGTTTTGCGAGAGGAAGCTCGACTTGAGAGGTTCGGATTCTGGTCTTTCGAAGGGCGGCACAGGTTTCGCTACTGTGCTTTCACTGTCTCTCTGCAGAGGGAAGCCGGGAAGCCTGAGGGGGCTTTGATTTGCATCAAAGACGCAAAGGTGCACTCTAGGGACACGCATCGCTCTTCTCTTGGTTTCAGTTCTTGATAGATGGCTCTCTGCTTCTCTCCTGCCCAGGTAAACGGGAAGCGACCCAAGCAGCCAGGGCACCAAATACAACCTTTGTACCAAACAGGACTCGCGAATCTTCCGGTCTGTCACGCATCTACTCCCACACCCTTCTGGCCGCCTTCATATCCAAAACCCAAACATCTCGAAGCCCTAACCATTTAGCTCAGACTTCCAACCCTTCAGCCCTGGCACTCAGAGATCTTTGACCCACAAAACCCGGAAACATCCTGGGCCTTTACAATCTTTTGGGGCTTGGGCGTTTGCGGCTCTAGGGGTCTTCTTAGGGATCCAAGGTTTCCTACAAGCGCCCTTTCGTCGAACTGACTATAAGCCATATAGGGTTTATAAGGGGGGTCTATAGGGTAAGGAGATCACTCTGAAACCCAACAGCGCCGAGCCGCCGCTTGATGGATGCGAAGTCGAAGCACTGCTTCAGGAGCTTAAGGTGGTCCTGGCACGGTCGCGCATCCCCTGCGGTTCAGAGACGTTGGGACCTGCCTCCGCAAGAGGTCGGTATGGGAACAGGTCTGCATCAAGGAAGTACAAAGGCTACACAAAGAGCATCCCACGATTCCCACGATGTGAGCGCCTCGACGCAGTCAAAGACTTCCACCACCTTGTCCGCAAGCTTGTAAATCGCGGGCTTCGTCCTGACAAAGACTTTCGAGATTTTAAACCTATATAGGCCATCGAGTCAGGTTCCTCCTTTCCTAACTTCCTATCGTGGAATGCGAATCATCAAGCAGGTTGTTAAAGAAAGACCTTTCCGGCTGTGTTTCACTGACTCTTGTGACAAGTAGGGTTACAGCTTTGTAGGGATCATACCCCACGCCAGTCTCTGCTCAGACAAGGTTCAAGTCGAGCGTGGGAAGGCCGTCCACGCTCTTGTACTCTTTGATCCTCAAGAGCACCGGGCGATGTCTGCACGAGTAGGCTGGGGCAACATAAGTGGACCTATGTAGCAGCGGCTCTACAGCCACAGTTCTCCCGTGTTCTTGACAGATCACTATTTTCGGACTTGTGCAGCTGTTGCTGGGCTGCCTCGACACCATCAAACAAAGATCATTTCTGAGCCCTAGATTCTACAAGCCCCACCTAAACCCCCCGGACCAGCCTCTGATTATACACAAATAATACTCATTGAACGATATAGTTTGCTGAATACCCACCAAATGGATACATTGGGGAGGTCTTGGAATAAGCTTCTCATGTTATTTTTTATTAGACCAGCTGGAGTACTGCAAAGAGTGTTCAGCTGTGCTTGTCCCAGCCGTTGAACTATACAAGGGGCCATAGGAGCACATACATCATCATGTTGTTCTGAGGCTCTTCCCAGTCCACTCCAACATCTTGTTCGTGAGCTTCTCTGGGGCTGGCCCGCCGTTCTCACAGTTGTACTTGATGCCAAAATCATCGTTGATGCCACCTGGCAGGGAGTCATGGCCCTACTCCCTACACTATGCAGATGCCGCCACAACCCCCTACATCCTAAGTGACCAACAAAGGCGACAAGAGCGTTAGGATGGCTTTTCGCTGCACCTGTTACTGCAGCTACTGCAACGATGGAAAGGCTGTAGCAGGCTAGTGCTGTGGAGATTCATGACGAAAAACGCTCCCAAAAATCGAGGCCTCTACAGTGCAAACTTCAATGACCACACACCCTCCATTCCGCAAGACTGAAACCTCAAGACTAAGCCCACAGCAGACCTCGTTTCTGGTTCCATGTGGGTTCAAGGAAAAGTCAAACCCATATCATCAGTTCTATAGCTGCCCGCTGAATTGGAGGCCTCAAAAATTTGGGGTGAGCCTGGGTGGGGTCAAGGGCCTTGGAGACCGGACAAGAGTGTCATGGTGGATGACTGCCGATAGCTGTCATATAAGGCCTGCCAACAAGTGATTACTATAGCCTTGGCATAGGCCAAACTTCCCCGACCGTTCGGTACTCCGTTTGGAACATCAAATCCATGCATGAAGATCGCAAACACGCTTCTGTTTACCAAATTCTTGGTTTGTCTAATTTCCTGCTCTTGTTCCCTCTGGCGAAGATCACAATGTTATGTCTGAAAGCTGAGTACTAATGTGTAATCAATTTCTAGCTTAAGGCCGACTTCTGCAACATGCCTTTCCGGAACATCCCACCTCATANNCTCCCGGTACCTATTGATCCTTCCGAGCTGAAATCAACTTGCTGGGTCCTAATTTCTAGCGCTCCTTGCTGGAAAACCTGTTCGCTGATGTGGGTCCGCCAAGAAGAGGGAAACGTAACCCCAAACGCCCTTCTCACAGAACTCCCACAAGCTGCGTGACACAGACTCTCCGCAAGGCTCTATAGAAACTATAAGCACCTAAACTCCCAGGTGTTAAGCT